TTGTTTCTTTTGTTTCTTTTTCTTCATGCATTCATTCAGCGGTTGCACAACTGTATTTAAAACAAACAAAAACAAGTAAAGAAACGAAGGTTGCAACACCGGCCGTTCGCGGGGTGCAGTGATTTACATAAACCGTACAACACCTCCTCTTTTTCTTCTGTTTTTTTTATTTATTTATTTATTTTTGGTTGCGACCGGCAGTGAAACAGGAAATGGGAATGTGTCTCTTCTACATCTGCACCACCCGCCAAAAGTTCCTCCTGCTGCACTCATCCAGAGGAAGCAGTGCTGCCTGTTTGAAGATGTCTCCAGACCCCCCTGCTGTGTTTGCACCTTGTTATTCTGTTGAATGTAATCAATTCCCACGGGTTCAAACCTGATCTGAACCCTGAACCCTGAACCCTGAACCCTGGGCACTGTGGACACAATACTCTCATATTTGTATCAGGCGTATTTCTGTCCTCTAGGTGCTCCTGTGTCCCTTTTTGTAGACCTGCAGTTATATTTTTAGAACATGTTCAGGGCGTAATGATTTAACAGTAAACAGTTAACCTTACATTTCCAGTTTAATGTAACATTCACCTCACTAAAGTTGGATTTCAGACTCAAAGATCGCCTCCAGACATGTATTAGGGCATTTACAAATAGTCTGCTTGGAACAGTATTGTTTTTTTCTGCAAAAGAAAGTATAATTTCCACATTAAGATCCTTTAAAAGGCATCTTCTACTCCTACCTTATTAAAATCTTTGAATATGAATGTGTACATCCATCATTGTGCACAGTGGAGCTCAAACTGTGGGAACGAGGAGTGGCAGGAGGCTTTAAGCCTGAAGCATCGGCATTGTCTCACCTTTTTAGAGTTGTTTCTAAATAGCTAACAATTACTGTCAATGTAGTGATTAATCTGGTGATTTTATTCCCTTTTTTTTTCCTTTACCAATTATTTGTTAAGGCTTTAAAATGTCAAACAATGAAAAAGTTCCCAGAGTCTTCAGATGTGCTTTACTTTACAGTAACAGTGTTTTTTTTATTCTTTTTGAATCCAGAAAGCGCTAAAAAAATACAATTTTTCGCCATTTTTCAGGCCAAACTGGTTCAAAAATCTGTCTCCGGCTTCTCAAAAGCTTCTCAACTGTAACTGTACGTCCGCTTTTTTTTGTCATACATTGTAAATTTAATCTCTTCTGGGTTTTGAACTGTTGGTCTGACAAAACAAGACACGAACTTTGGAATTTGGATGATGGATAATCCAAAAAATGATCTGCAGATTGATCGATAATGAAAACAATCATCAGTTGCAGCCGTAGCATCGTGAGGGGTGAGGTTAAATTAGGATTACAAAAATAATAGCACCTAATAGAGATGGTGAGGGTGAGGTTTCTAAGTATAGATGAACATTAGTGTGGTTTTTAACTGCACTGATCCTCAGTCAGACTTTAAATTACTGCGTCAGACCAGCAGGGTTTTCTGTCCCCACTCATTCAACACACTTCCTCACGTCTCCACTTGCCGTTCACTCAGAGCGTTCACGGGCAAATATATGTGGATATTTGTCTGTAGCCACTCCCTGAATTTCGGTCACACGCTTTTATTTCATCTCATGATCATTTAAACTATAAACACCAAGAAACATCCCCGAAATAAAAATACTGACCCCCATAGACGATGCATATAAAAGACCTTTTCACGTTATTCTCATACCGTTGGTTCACAATGTGCTCTTTCAACGAGAGGCAGAGTCCTGAATGGCCACTCGAAGAGGATGTGGTTTTGAGGCGACACTGAATGAAGTTTGCCATTAGGTATGAACTGTCGGTGACCCCTGTGAGACAGAAAAGCCCAGTCAGCGAGGCGGAGGCACAAGTCACACTGCCAACAAACAGCTGGAATTAGTGGCCGAAGGACAGAATATAAAGCTCCCGAGGGGCTCTGAGGAACTGCTCCGCGTCTGAGCGCTCGAACTCTCTCGGCTGGTGTGTGGCAGAAAGTCGGCATCGCTATGAACTATGTATGTGTAAAGTCTGCATGTGTGATGTTATGTAACAGCTAATGCCAACACTGGAGTAAGAGGTTTAATGGAGATTTATTTAAGAATATATATTTTTAGATATTTTAAATGTGTCCTATTTGAGTGTTACTGGTGGGGCAGTCATTGGCCGCAGTTAACTCATAATTAAAGTCACAGTTTGGGTTCCTACTATATGTTACATGTATATTTGAAGGTGTAAAATGTGCCTCCTCTAAATCAGGTGTCCATCTCTAATATCTTGTCATGTTAACAATCTCTCTGAGAGGTCTCTGTCTGTAAATCTGTTGATAAAATCAAATAAGGTCAGTCTTTGAGATTCAAATTTTGCCCTTTCGGCAGTCTTGTGATTTGCCTATCCGTGTTCACAGTTGATGATTGGCTCTGTTTAACTTACCTTGGCAGAACAAGCTGCCTTCTGTTTCCTGCGAGGTATTCGTTGTGGCATCTCTTGGTAGGGTGCTGGTTTGGAGGCCAAGCTTCCCGTTTTCCTAGAATGTGTCCCATTGTCCCATAAATTGCAAACATTGCTGCGTTTTTATCATCTTGGATGCACACGTACAATTCTCCTGTGCTCCAAGAGCATTTGATTTAATTGGGTTGCTGGTAGGGATGCAGAAACCGATCATCCACTGATCATTAACAGCCAATATTCAGTAAACATATGAGATTGGGAGATCGAGATGAATGCTTTCTGCTCACAGATCGCAAAAAAAACGATCAATGGGAAGCTGTAATGTGTGACAGTTGTTTCATTCAGTTTTAAGAGACCTGAAAGTGAGATTTTAGGCATTTACTGGTGCAATGTTGTGATTGACACAGGAAACAGAGCTGATATCTGGGTCGGTGTCTCATATAAATGATGATAATGGTGAGAAAGAAAATCGGCACCAGTTGTCATTTTCATCCTGAAGCTGTTTAAAGATGTTCTTTAAACACAAAGGCTTCGTGTCCAGAGCTCATAACATCTGACAGCTGTGTTTTTGTCCCCTTCTTGACTGACAGGTGCAGTTTCAGAAGATCCAGCAGCTTCGTTTGTCTCAGTCTCGGGCGCCGTACTATGGAGGCTCTCTGCCGAACGTCAATCAGATCGGCAACGCCAGCGTTGAATTTCAGGTGGGGCCCTCGATCAAAACATACAGCACCGCCACAAACCACGAACACGTCTCTGAGAGTGTTGGATTGCTGACCATTGTTGAAACCTAGTCCGAGACGAGTTACAATTTCAATGAAGTGAAGTTTTGAATCTCTGTCTTGAATACCAGTTTATCTGTAGTGATGTATTCCAGGTTTATTGCGTCCACCCGGTGTTAATGGTTTCTTAAGGTGTGTTTGGAACATTTTCACCTCACATGGATGCGTCTCTGCGTCTGTGAATTGCAACGCAGTGTGGCCCAAGTTGAGCCAGGTTAAACTTTGTTGGCTGGATGTTTTTTTTTGATTGAGCCCTCTGCATCAGCACCAGAGCTGTGCCAACACAGCAGTGCGATTTAAATAAATGAGGAGGCGGCTTTCCCTTGTAAACGCACTGGTGCTGTCAATCAGTGCATTTTGTGTGAATGTGCTCAAATTTAAGGAAAAAAGGATGTTCAGTGTGAAACGAAACATGAATGTTGTCTTTGAAACCCTGCTTACCTTGGGATCTACCAAGTTCAAGGTGTTGTTCTCTGTCGGGGTTTTCAAGGCCGGACCACAATAACCCTCAGTTCCAATGTTGTCGAGTCCAGTGGTTCCCAAACCTTAGAAGGAAATGTCCTGTCAAGCCAGCCAACCCCAATATAACATGCATATATAGATGCTTATCGGTTTAAAAATGTTTAATTTAATATTAATAGTGCATTGAACATTAAACTGTTCTATTAAAATTCAAAACTCAGAATAAAAGCCAGCAGGTGCTCTGCAGATATACGTATAAATATTTAATTTAAAATGAAAAATGAATACAATTAAATACACTAATATGTTGGCTATGTAAAATTTATTTTTAATTTTTGTTAAAACTTTAAATGAGCTGATTTTTAAGCTGTACGAGGACAAACAAACAAACAAAACAAGAAAAGGTTGCAGGCATTTTAAAGGACATGTGCACACTCTCTGCTGTGGGGAGACAAAACACAACTCGTCTTTTTCTTTTCTAATAAAGCCACATCACACACGTATGATGTTGGGAATCCACGGTGGCGCACTGAATAAAGGATATCCGTCTCCCACAAGCAGACAACTCTGTCTGTTGATCCGTCAGTTAGTTGTGAGTTCTGATTTTAGTTTTCTCAGACTGTGTTGTGCTGAGATGTATCAGCATTTCTTTGAGCTCTGTTCAGCATGTCAAATCTTCCCATCGCTGCCACTCCGCCGAAAACTGTGCTTCGTCGCCGTGGCAACCGGCGCCCGTGAGTTTTCGTGTCATTATCGGTGGCATAACTGCATATTAAACGTGTTTTATTACAGTGATTTTGATCGTTATGGCCTTTTTCTTCTGATTTGATGTGTTGAATGTTGCAAAAAATAATGAATTACTTCCCTGTGTCTCCCTGCTGTCACTGTTAAAGGACCAATGTGTAGGATTTAGCCCCGCTGTAAGTGCGTATGAGAAACTACGGTGGCTACAAAACCCAACGAAAAACACAAAAAGTCTAGAGCCAGTGCTTTGTTTGTCCATCCGGGCTACTGTAGAAACATGGTGGTTCAACAAAGTGGCCTCCGTAGACAAGGACCCGAACCCTCGGTACATAAAAATGGCTCATTTGAAGGTGGTGAGAACACAACGGTTCTTATATTCAGTTGATTAGACACTAATGAAATACACCTATAAATATTATGTCACCCACTTCACAATATATTAACAATGATGTGATAAATCGTTCGACATCCTTGGACCTTCCTCAAGGCACCCCAGGGTGCTATTGCACAGAGTTTGGGAACCACTGCTCCGGTCTGACTGCAAAAACAGCAAAACACTTCACTGGACCTTCAGAAGTGCAAACAAGCTTCTCCCGAGAGCGTTAAATAATTCAGCTGCCGACTGGAAAAGATATAGAATTAAAGATCAGTGCAGTAGTTCTCAGCACTCCTTTAAGCAGCGCAGTGCTGTTTGTGATCCAACAGTGCTTCTCTGCAGCACTGTATCTGTGTCAGCTCTCCAAGGAGTGGGCTATGCCGGGATACAGAGGGTCCAGGTGAAAGTGCCCTTGTTACTTAAAAGAATGGCCCTTTGAGGTAGAGCAGTAATTGCAAACACTGTGGCCGGGTCTAGTAATCAATCCCCACATGGAGGGAGAAAGCCCCTCTCACTCATAGAGCCCGTTCACCTTCTCTTCTGGGAACAAAACTCGACAATCTTAATGGCTTCTAGATTCCACTTGATGATAAGCATTTGTTAGCCCTAATTCAACTAAATGAATGCAGAGCACTTAATGTAGCCAGCGCTGAGTAGGCACAAACACTTTCATCTGCAGTTCGTGTGCAGTGTGCACATGCCCAGCATTCAAATGTGGATCATATATTCAAACTCAGACATTTTTGAATATATTCAATTTAATCATTAACCACGTGGTCTGTGACAGTGTGAACAGGACGATTTAAAGTTGCTAGAAAAGTAACACGTAGTCACTTCAAAGTACACTTGTTTAACAGTAAAAACCAGGAAATCGAAGCTGTGCTCTTTGAGTGTAGAATCCAAGTAAATCTGTTGCATCGTTTCTTTATTCTGCTTTTCTTGCGTAATATATTCTAGTATCTTATATAAGATTCATCATTGCTACAGTGCACTAATATGACATTTTGTGATGGGAGTATCCTTGGATTAAACGCCTTCATGCAGTCATGTACTATTGTGTGTCATTATTAAATTAACAAGACTATATTTAATTGCACTTCTGTGACTGTAGTGTTTATCAGACGTCCTTTGTGTTTGAAGAGTCATCATGACCTAAAAAAAGCATTTGAAACCTAGCAGTCATCACATGGCCGTATAATAGTTGGTAATTGTTTTAATACAGTTCTGTGGTATGTCACATCAGTTAATAAAAGCCTGAGGTGTTAGACTTTATTTGTGACTTTAGTTTAGGCGTGAATACAAATAAGATATTTGTATTGATGTTTTTGCTAAATACTGCATTCAGATACAACTGAAGTTTGGTTAAAATGACATTTGAGTGATTGTCAGATGTCTCTTCCTCTCTACCAATCTGGAAACCTGCAGTTATGTGTCTGATTGTCTCTTTCTCAGGGTGGCTTTCAGTCAGGGTTGGACTCGGTCAGAGGGACCCGCCACCACGGACTGGTCGAGAGGGTCCACAGGGAGCGCAACCGCATCAACTCTCCCCATCGACGACCCATCGACAAGCATGGACGGCAGATATCCTTTCAAGCCTCAATCATTGACACTGCAGTGTCGTGGTCATGTGATGCCTACCCTGGGGTTGAGCTCATTACTGCAAAGTTTTATTCAAAGTGTTTGTTAATTTTATCTATCTATTTGCACGAGAAGAGTCATTCTCATGTCATTCCATTGCACAATGTGTTTAAGATAAGAGCTGTCACACACACACACACACCCAGTTAGTCATTGGTGATAAACCAGCAAACTGCAGCGATACGTTGTTTTTTCACTGTGTTAAGAGAAATCCATACCGCCACAGTCCTAGTAGGATATCTCAAAGGGTAACCAGTGATGTGGAAGTGGGTGTGGAAGTGGGTGTTGTGGCTTCCAGGTGGTTGGTCTTCATTGTTGTTGTTTTTTTTTATGGCAGTGTTTGTGGTGTGGTTTCAAGCGTGACGACACTTACCAGTGTAGGCAGCTGTTTTGTAGCCTCAGGAACAGAATTAGTCATTATGCTAATTTGAAATGTGACGCAGAGACTGTGCGCTTCTTTTATACCTAATGGACATTGACAGTAGGAGATTCTCAGCATACTTTGAATGCACACTCAGGGCATTTGGGGCTGAATGCAGCAGCAGATGTGATTTTTATGAGGAAGCTGCAGACGGTGTCGAATTGTCGTAATGGTGATGATACACAGAATAAGGAACAGAGGAGTGCGTGTCTGCACTTAAACTTTCAGCTACATCCATTAAAATCCATTTTCCCTGAGTCTCTTCAGAATTTGAGAGAGAGAGCAGAAAAAGACATATAATTCAGGCTTGGTATGTTTTATAAACCAGATTGTGTTATATAAATTGCTCTCATTTGCAATGCACAGCTTATCTCCATGAATATTGTCACCAGTCAGCTATCACATGTTTGTCAGAATTCTTCACATTTGCATCGGTGCATCTCATGTAGTATGTAATAGAGACAGAGCAACAAATCAGTGGTTCAGTTCACACCCATTATTACTTAACTAGCTATTTGGTGTTAGAACCGTTCTTTGTAAGTAATACATAGTTAATTGGATTTTCTTTAGATAGTTTGCATTTGAGATACAGGACGCTTTAAATTTCCTGATCTGGACTCACACCCAATGTGTTGCATTTACATGAAACACCACGTAGCCCACTGATCCATCAGCACACTCCCACCTCATAGCGTTTTAATAAGCGGATCTGTTTATTTCCTGCCTCGGGACGGAGATGATTCAGTGACCTGTCACTGTGGTGTGTGATAACTGGAAAGGAGTTTGTCTTGTAACCGAGCATTTGATATCATACGTGTGCGTGTGTCTGTGTGTGCACGTGTGTATGTGCAATGGACAGGGGTAACCTACATTGAGGGTGATGTTTAAATTGAATAAAGTTCAAGCAGGGTAGGATATCTCTTATCATACTTAACTGTTTCAAATGGTTCCTGAATGATCAGCAGTATCATTTAGATACATTTAGGCATTAGAAGCAAGCTCAATGGTTTGTCTTGAATAGTCCACGTTATTGTGAATATGTGTTGTAATGTAGAACACACTGTTACCTATACAACCTAGGAGGAGGCGCTCCTGTAAAAGTCTTGCTTTTTATTTATAGGTATTATAGTAAATGAAAAGTGCAAAATATGACAGAAACAACACAAAAACAAGGCCCATTAAGTCCATAAGAGATGTAGTTTCTAGATCATGTGGGATGGTGTTTTCTATTAATTTTCTTTTTTATCAGTTTTGTTAGGGTGCTTAGATTCCATGTGATGAATGGAGTTGTGGTTGCAGCCAATCACCTCAGTTTAATAAAAACACATGCAACTGACATTTGGAGAGGGTGAACCAGTTCGATGTTTTTTAAAGGCATACTGAGAAGGGTTTCCTAAAAAAGAAAAAAAAAAGTGTATTGACTGCAAACAAAATCCCTGCAGGGGAGAGACCCTGCTGCACTCTGCCTGTATTTTCTTATTTTGCCGTGTGCAGGATGTTTCTGGGCGTCAACCTTCGGGGAGTGGGCAGTGTCTAAGGTCGGGACACTATAAAAACTTAGAGCGAGTAGATCGCTGTCTCCGTCCCTGCGCTCTGCTCTCCAGCACTGACACAGCAATTAAACAAAGTGTGCAGTCAAAGCGATAGTATGAACGTATAAAGAGCTGCAGTCTGTGTGTCTGTTTGACCGAGGGCGGGGCTGAGCTGCACACTGCAGACAGGCACTGCAGACAGTGCGGCCTCGCCACAAGCTGGCAAAGTGCCGGTGCACCTTCCGCCCGATTATGCGGAGGTGCTTTAGTGCGCAAGCATAAGTTTGTTTCTGAAACAGTCACAAAATAACATTTGTCTGATTCACTGCTTTGTTCTTGGTAACGGCGCTCCCTCTCTGCATTCACTCTCTAGTGTGTTCTTGGTAACGGCTGAGTAGGGGAGGAGTGGCCAACTCTGAATGGTGTCTTGACAAACAGAAAACGGACAAATCCTGCCTTCAAGTTCTCCTGGATGTCTCTACTGTAAGTGTAAAGGAGGATTCTTCTCTCATGACCAGCAACTTAAGCACCACAGTACAGTGAAATAAGAAGAAATCCATCCTTATTCACATTCCAAAAAATAAATACTTCAACTATACATCCTTTGAAGGCTACCTAGTAAAAACAATGTATTTTCTTCATTGCTTTATTTTTGCAGTAAGGTTTATATCCACCTCTTAACCGCATTCTCTGTTTCTCCACTTTTACAAAATGAATGATATCTGAAAAGGTTTCTTTTTATTATTATTATTATTATTTACTTCATTAGATGAAAAGACCAAATTGCTCTTTCTTGCGCTAAATCATTTGATCATTCTGTCATTGCTCATATTTTCAACAGTCAAACCACATTAAGGGCTGTAAATGTATCAGTCTAGTAGTAGGTTTTGTTTTTGCTCTCATCCAAAATGTATCTGTGATGTGGCACAGATCACCAAGAGAGTTTTAATTATTCTCTTTACTGATTGAATGATAATTTAAATGATTGATTGTAGACAGTTTCATGTTGGCAAAATCCTCATAGGGCTGCTTGTGTTTAGACAAAACAAAAGACAGAAAATGTCTCATGTTAAATGGTAAAATGATTTTCTTGTAGAAAAATGTGTTTATCTTCCACAAAGAAAGGTATTGTTTAGTATTGATGCCTAAACTCACATGTCTGATATGACACTGTATTGAAAATACTGAATCCACTGAGAATTAATTGAACCTGGCAGCTGCAACCGGGACCATCATCTGCTCTGGAGAGTGGTTTAAATGATGATGACAGGGAGCAGTGCAGCTTTTTGAAAATGAAAATGTGTAGTGTGGTTTGTGGCTCTGGCTTATCCATTCATAGAACCATATTTTGAAAATGGAAAAGTGGTTTGTAACTGATTTTTTTTTTTTTTTAAATTGTATCCCAATTTTACATTCACTGCTTGTGTTAGTGTGTAGTGTAGTTGTGCGTAGTTTCCACACACTGGACACGCAACTTAACCGTGCCATCTACAGTTTGTGGTTGACCCCACCATTATAGTTGTTAAAATGTGTTAAGTAGGAGCGCATGAACAAGTTTAAATAACCAGTTTGACAGGATTGTTCCCTTTCCTCCACTGCATCTGAAGAAACCACAGTAGTGTCCTTTGCATTAGTTGTATTTGTGTATATTTGAACAGGGTCTTATCTGACATTTTGTGTGAGGGTTGATGAGCGATAGCAGGGCTCCAGTCTCTGTAAAGCTGTCTCACTACTGATAATAATTTGTCCAAGGCCTAAACAGATGCTGTGTAGAGCAGTGGTTGGCCTTGTGCGGCTCCCAATCTCTGTTTTAATTTGTTTTTGTTGGTCAGTCAACGCTTTTAATGCCAGTCTCTGCACAACTACCCAGACAGGAGATTGTTTCTAGAGCAGAGGAGCTTGACTTGCAAGCACTAAAAGAGTGCTTTTGGCAAGACAAAACACCACCCTTCTGAAGTCCTGCCCTTTCACAGACAATGCCAGGAACTCTGCCTCTGCACTCACTAGTAAATCAAATAATGCTGTCATTGTTTCATTAAGTATTTGAAAAAGGCAGCTCTATTGTTCACACTTGTCTTTCACCACAACAGGACTTTGATGAGAATGTGCGTACAATACGAATGCTTTCTTTTCTCTTTGAACTGTCATCCTCTTAAGAATTTATGCCATGCATTTGAGTTTAGAGCTAGTTATAACTCATCCTTGTTGCATTTTGGAGAGGAAAAGAAAGTCAAGGTGAAATAGACTATGGGCGCTTTTATACTTTTCAGTTTCCATTCACATAGAAAATGCATTGTATTCTAGTTGTCTTCTATTTTTTTTCGACGTGGTAATATCTAGTAATATGGAAATCACATGAAATCTTTATTAAATGAACTTACTGTTTGTTTCTGTATTTGTGCCAATAATTTCCTTAACTAAAACCTACATAGAGAGCTCTCCGTATGGAGCGGTGTACCTGTCCCCACCTCTGGATAACAACTGGAGAAGGTGAGTAGTGCATCTGTGAAGTGCAACTGGCTGAATGAATGGTTATTGTCCTCTTTTCTTCCTCTAACTAGATTATTTTACAATTTTCATATTTTTCTGCACAAATGTTTCAAGTGTCAGGCGTCTGTGTTAGCCCTGGGAAAGCTCCATCTACCTAAAGGTGTTTGACAGATAGCCTTTTGCTTTAAAGGTCATGCCCAACAGCAGTCACCCTACTGTTTAGGGATTTTAGGTTGTCACACTGCCCTGTGGTATAGAATCTCCAACTTAGCAGAAATTCAATCGCAGGACCTGCTGGAAAACAAAGCTACACTAGGCCTTGATGTGAGCTGTAAGATCTCTTTTTCCAGCTCTGGTTGTGCCCACCTAGAGCAGTCAGTGTACTGGTACACAGCTTTTCCTCAGTGTTTACAAGGGAGTGAATTATGGCCGTGTGATAAAAAAGCTCAGCGAAGCTCCTCCCCGCTCACTCTCTTTCACTCTTGCTCTGTCTGCACACTTGTGTTTTGTATGCTGCCTTGGCGAGCTGCCAATCACCCTGCCTCGTCTTCTTCCACGGCGGTGACACAGACGTTTGCCAGGCTCCGTGTTGAGCGTACTATAACAGCTTGTACTGTAGAAGAGAAAAAGGCCCACGCCCTCTTGTCATTGTTGACAGCACAAAACAGGTTGGCTGACAAACATCCTCGCGGAGCAACAAGACGTCAGTGTTCTCATAGTGGGTGTGTGAGCCATGTGGCACAAAGCACTGAATGTAGGCTCTCACGTTAATACACTCGCTTTACTCACTGCTAAGTTCCTGACCGTGTTTCTCAATGGAAGATTATCATGTCATCTGAACTTCAGTTAGAGTATGAAAAATGTGACAACCATTTTCATTGAATTAAATACTTACATTTTCTGTCATGAAGGCACACAGCACAGGCAAGCTTGTCTAGTAGACCTATCATTCATACTCTACATGAAGTGCATCTTTCTGTGGCATAAATCTGTTTATCATACGCTGTAAACTGATAGACCACAAATTGTTTTCCATTGATTGTCATACATGGGCTCTTGAGATGGCATAACATTTCTCTCTTTAATTCTGCTCATGTTCATCTCTCCCTTTGATTGCTTCTTCTCTTCTACCATTCCCCACCGACCGTCCTGTATATGTGATTGGCATCAGCTCTGTCAAGTCTCTGCAGGCCAAGCCTAGCCTCCTGCTCCAACCTGCAGCAGATTGTTGTCACAGTGTGTAACAGGGATACATTTCCCCTCAGCAGTGGATCCTGGCCCACTTCACTGTGACAGGCAGAGATATAGAAGTTTCCCCTTCGTACTGGCACAACTGACTGTGTCGAAAACAGACAAGGGTCTAAAGCTAAAACACCCAAATCCATCTGCTTATTGTCCACATATCTACTTATCATAAGAGAGTTTCACACAAGTTTCAATTTAATTGTCTTTTGGGTTGTTTTTTAGTTTTGACTATACTCACCATTGTTTAGTTAGAGCAACCAGCTTACTAACAAAACAATGTTCTGATTTTATCTAGATCTTTCATGCATATGTGGTTTGCATCTTTTTCTTTTTTTTTTTTCAAGTTTCAGCCAAGACAAACATTGGTGCTCCTGGCAACTTGTTCTTATTTCTATTAGCTCACTGTGCTCCTGCTATGTAAAAAAGCTGGCTAGTAAACCCTGAAACTTTGCCTATCGGCATCTGGCAGCATGCTATGAGGGAATTAGACGTTTATGATCCATGGTTGATTTACAGACTGGTTTTTCAGGGCATGTGAAAGAGTAGAATGAAAAAAAGAAGCTGGAGAATGTTACATATACGTAGTTAGACATAATTTAATTGAGGTGTAACTTGAGATGCATGCATTTTCATCTGCTGAAAATCAGACCAGAAAGTCCTTAGAGACGAGACAAGAACATTTTTAACAACCAGTTGTAGAAAACATCGTAGAACATTTGAAGTGAAAGGTCACATAGAAATACAATCCAGGAACTTAAAGAACTGGACAATGCTGCGTTACCCTACCATAGCAGCACCATCATTCTGCTTCCAAAATAGGATGTGTGTGCATATTCTCATGCAACTTTAGCTTGCAATATAGGTTGGCAATAATTCCCAGGTGTCCTGTGTCGACCACTGGATTCACGCAGAACTTTTTAAATATGTAATTTTCAGTTGTTAACACTAATTGTGAATTATCATGTAACATTTTATTAAGTTCTTGGACCCAGGAGTAAAATTACACAACTTGTCAGGGTCATGTCCAAGAGAGATGTTTCCAATGCAACCTGGTAATTTTGCTATTTGTATCATGATTCATTTCCAATAGCTGTCTATTGATCAGAATGAATAAACAAACAGAACACTGATTGTGTAAAAGCAAGTTATGTACTAAGTAAAGACATAACAAATTGTAGGAGGGGAGAAATCGGAGTCTGGACTGAAGTCTAGCCAGATTAGAGAGGCTCTTTTTCCAGTAGCCTTTTGGGAAATGTCATTGAAGAAAATGATACTTTGTTACACTCTTTTACAAGAGACGGATGTTGATATACTCTTAAATAAAAAAAAAATAAAAAATAAAAAATTAAAACCTTTTTACTCTTGTCCAGAGAACAGATCAGTTCCTTAACTTAATATCCATCCATGGTAATGGTCTTAGGCTCTTGTGTTGTTGCTGTGAGATGCAGATTCCCTGCTTGTCCGTCTCAGGGGAGAGTGGGGCGGTAAGTGTTTACAACGCCAACCACATCTGCACTGCGTTACCGCCAGTCAGCTCTGGAGAAGAGTCACAGAGCTCTTTAACTGTTTCAGTGCTTTAACTACCACAACAGTGATCAGCTATCTGCTGTACACCCAGCCTCTTGCACTGACGATTGAGAACACGGGGCCAGAGGTAGATGTTCAGTGAGCATGCATATTGTGAAAAGCACCATTAGTTTCAGGTTGCAATAACATTGTTTTTTAACTGCTGCATGTTTGTATTAAGATGCCTCATGCCAAGCTTCCCAGCCTCTTTTAGATCAAGACTGAGGCAGTGGGCCAGTGCTAAGGGATCGTCCGGCATGACAGAAATGCTGGGGAACAGAGCTGTTCACATAGCCTTTAACCGCTCCGTGACCAGCAGTCTGGCCAACAGATTTTATCATCTCTCTGGATTTGGTGAGGCTTCTTTTTTTTTTTCAAGTAGTGATTTCCCAACTTTGTCCATCTGTAGTGAGTGGGGACATGGTTTTTTATATCCACCATCTGTCCTATAGAGTTTACTGAAGTACAGTGCTTGTTTGGAAATGTGCTGTCTCAAAGAATATGAGTGTACGCTGGTGTTTGGGAAGAGGATTTCTTATAGGGAATTTGCTTCTTGGGGTCCGAAGGCATCAGACCTGAGTACTGAGCCCTGGATGCGTCCCTTCAGAGGCCATCTGTTTCAGGGTCAGAGCCTTGATCCAGTCCCACGCCCTCCTCCTCTTCCATTCACCCATCTTTGGATCTGCTATTCCTGTACCAGCCTCTCTCGGGATGAAATCTCAGACCAAGCTCCCTGTAGATTTCTCAGTAGAAAGGCCTTCCAGAGGAGAGATCTTAAAATGTCCTCTTTGCAAGACTGGGTGTGATGACTCCCGAGGGCTTTTATCCTCCATCTAGGTGGTCTGATTACTGCACTCCTATTAGAAAAGTGCTTCTGCTCGTAAACACCAACTTCTCTCTCACCCTAAAATTACATCACGACTTACAACTCAGGCTCCAGACTGTTGATCAACAGCTTTGGTTAGCATCAGACATACAAAGCTACACATGATTATTCTTGCATAATATTCGGCTGGTTTACCCCAGTTGACCTATTAACTGTGTTTCATCTTTAACACTGCACTTCTTTGGCTAATTGGAGTATCGCAGCCTTGTTACTAGACATATACTATATGCTTGTTTGCTAATACCCTAAAGCAGTTTAATGTGTTTAATTCAACAGTTACACTTTTCTGTAAATCCAGCATGAAAACAAAATCTACATGTCTGTGTCAGACAGATATTTGTTGCTGGATGGGTGGAGTGCCATAGCTCATCTGCATTCCAAAGGCTACATCATCTATCTAAATATAAGTATAGGCCGTTACACCTTACAATGACAAGCATAGTGGCTAAACCATGTGATGTGACACGTGGAAGTTTTGTGGTTTGTCTTCTTTTGTTCTGCTCATCAACTGTCTGAGTAAAAGGACACTGCCATATCAGATCTGCCCCCCCTGCAGTATTACTGTGGACCTACAGGCTTTAATGTTGCATCATGTTTGTTAAAGCCTTGTTTTTAGTGTGACTAACCAGCATGTCTTAGGTTATACAAAAGGTTCGAAGGTTTCAAAGGGGGCGTGTGAGGAGCACCTCTGCTGCAGATGTCGAGTTGAATCTTCCTGGAAGAAAAATGAGCACCACCTTATCTTTTGACCATGATGCGATGATTTCATAACAAAACCCAAAACAAGAAGAGGCAGCTTCCAACACAGACACCAGTTACATGATGAAGAGCTTGCTGTGCCTCCTGGAAAACACTGAGATCTCGGCTTTTATAAACTCCTCTAACCTATGCATTCACATAATGTAAGTGAGAAGGTGATACAAACTCAAATTCACAGAGTGCACGAGGAAATGACTAATTTTAGCTCCAGCTGTTTAACCAGCCCTGTTGTACAACATTCCTATCAGTCATAATAACATTGTACTCACCAAGTTAATTGCTGAGATCCGGGAATACAGTAACATCACAAAAATAATGTCAAGACAAGAAAAACATGCACTAAATTTATTTTTTACCTCCTTATCAAGTAGTTTAGATAATCTGGCTAAGCTTTTGGCTTTTGTACAAGCTGTCTGATCATCTGACCTCTTGTTGTTGACCCATCTGACTTCATTCTAGAGATGTCACTGTGTTCCCAGCTCTCAGCTATTGTTTTGAGTACAATGTTATCCAAACCAAAAGAAATGAACCCCAAGTTGTAATAAACTGAAATTATTAAGTGCCATAGAACTTTTTGGACGAAGAAACCACAATGTAAATGTTTAGTAAAAACAATACAGTTGACAGTCTTTGCTAAAAACAAAGGTGGTCTAGGATATTTGACTTCTTTTATGAACCATTTGTATTTTTAGAAGACAAGTTGTATCAGTTAAAAGAAGCCACAGTTACTTCTGTGTACTTTCAGCCTAAGGAAGAGTCAGGACCCCTTTTTGCTGAGCGCTTCAGAAAAATCCACTTAGTCACTGTTCCCACTCCACCGTTGCAGGCTTTGACAATGACCCTTCAGATCAAGTTGTTTACGTCGTTTCTCTCTCTGGCCAGCCATTCCCCAGAGAACTGGTTGTGTTGCACCAATTTTCTCTCTCCACTAGATATGGGAGAACAGCTCGTAACCGCTCCTCAGCTGCAGGTTTATAAACCTGACTTGCAGTCATTCTGCTCGTTAGCTCTCCTGTCTTTGTTTGTCTTAATTTTTTCCGTCTCATCTGTCTTCACTCCGCTTTAATTTATTCTGTCTTTCCATTTTCCTCAAACATACAATGGTATTGTGCTGTATCTGAATATTTTCCAGGGTCTTTCTTCTTTCCACACATGCACCAACACGGACATGTCATATTTTTTTACCAAGATACCTTCTCTTTTTCACAAACTCTAAGGCAGGATCCAGGGGTCTCTTCTTTCACACAGTAAATTTGTCTGTCATTCTTTTCCTCTGTCTCTCTTTGAAGGGAACAGCAGCCATGGACTGAGGAAAAACGGCCTGGGTTTAGATTAATATCACAACTCAACAGGTGACCCTTGACCCTCCCCCCACCCCTTTCCCTCAGTCTGTCTTTACCGCTTTATCCCTTGCTCTCACAGAGCCCAACAATTCTGTTCTTTGTCTTTTTGCAATCTCTCTTGACTACATTGCGTCCTGGTTTCTATCCTTTGTAAATCTCCGCCTGATTTGTTACATCTCAATAATCCCCTCCTTTCTTCCTTTGAAGCACTGAGATAGAGGGCCACACAATCTCAGCTACAGACTGTTATGTTTGATTAATTCTTTATTTTTCTCCTTGTAGTTTTCCACTCATCCTTCCAGTTTGGAATTTCTGACACATTAATCAATAGTTCTTCTCTCTTACTAACCCAGCTTTAGGGCTCACGGCTCCTTCACAGTCTAATATCAAGGCTCCCTATTCACATTTTCTTATTTTCAGCCTTTTTACATTCTTCTCCAAGTGTTGTGTAAAGTATTGTTTTCAAAGCTGAACTCTTTGTGAGTCAAAGTTTTCTGCATTCAGAGCAAATCCATTTTGAGTTGACCGTACAGGGGCAGTGCTGTGAGACCAGCACAGAGAGGAGTTGTGATTACATTCCCAAACTTAACTATTCAATATGTACATATATTTTTGCTTTGTTTTGAACATTTTAAAATAGCAACTGTACTTATTTACTTGAGTAATTTGAGATATTGGGGAATTTGCTTATTTGCTGTCTTACCAAGAGTTCAATGAGAAAATTTATAAAAATTTGAAAATCTGTGACATGTTTATCCTAGCTTTGCTCGATGCTGGTAGACACCAGTACATCCGAGAAATGTTTGAGAACATTTAAGAAATATGAACATTTTGCCACAATTCTAAATATTGCCTAAACAGCTTGATAAAAACTTAAGATAAGATGATTTAGGAGAAGGTAAACAACTATGAAGCTGATGAAGCATTCAATGCCAACATTCGGTACTTAACATTTTTTTGCTACCAAACCTTTTTAAGAGTTGATGCCCTAACAACATGTTAAGCTTGGTGAAAACATATCATAGTAAAACACAAAGATGAAAATAAAATTGATCTAACTTAAAGGACCAGTGTGTCGGACTTGATGGCATCTGGCGGTGAGATTGCAGATTGCAACCAACTGAAACCCCTTCACCCAACCAAGCATGTAGGAGAAAATAAGGTGGCTGCAAAAATGGGGGAAAACATGTGAAAGGCCCTATCTAGAGCCAGTGTTTGGTTTGTCTGTTCTGGGCTTCTGTAGAAACATGACGATTCAACATGGTGGCTTCTGTAGAAGAGGACCCTTTTCTGTAGATAAACACGGCTCATTCGAAGGTAGCGATAACGCAACACTTCTTATCTTATTTTCAGGCAATTATATACTAATTAAAACCGATCTATAAGTATTATATTCCATTTGTGCCAATAGATCCTCATAAATGTTACACACTGGACCTTTAACTCTCTTTTAAGATTGCAAATTTCCCAAAATGTCAGTATTCTTTAAAGATGACTAATTGAGGCATTAATATAAGAAAATACACTATACAACTCATAATGGTTGCCTTAGTATAATGAAATGGTGACCTTGTTGTTGTGACTTTACTGGAAGTCTTTACCATTATATACAATGAGTTTTCCATCATTGGAATATTTCATTTTCCTTACATACTGTGTTGCTACTTTAGAAATACATATAATCTGGCTGGTGATCCTTCTGATGATCTTTATGTGTGTTTATTTACATATTTCCTCTTTACGTGACATAATTAATCAGTTACTTTTACATAGGACAACTAAATGGTTAACAAAACAAATTAAATTAAATCATGTAAACCTATAAAAGGCTTAAAAATCTGATCTTGAGGTGCTATTTGAGTGATTTTGTTTTTCTAGACCAGGAGAACTAACCTGACAGCTTAAAAATAAAGACCGATGGTTCAAATCTAAGTATGATGACTACAATTTGCTACAATGTACTAGAAGGAAAGTAGGAATGACGCATGAAAGAAGCCATTGAGGCTTAATGGATAGCACAAGAGAAAGCTTGCAGCCAGAGTGATGTAGGACTCAGGTTTGTGTGGTGTTGCCCAGGCATGTGTGTGCGCTGCAGAGCTTGGTACACGTGAGAATGTGTAAGTGAATTTCTTACACATATTAGATGTATACAAGAAGAAGAAACTAATTTCAAATCAAATCATTTTTGTAGCTGTGAAAGGCTTAAACTTAAACTTAACGTTTGACATTACCTGAACAGCTAGTGGCAAAATTATGTGTCGAATGCATCCCTGTCAAATCAATTGCAGGTAAAAAGAAATTGATATTCCTGAACCTTCGATATATATCAGTATTATTAGGGATAACAAATAGCATAGTTTATATGAAGCGCTTTTAGGTGATCATTATTTCATGACGGAGCCAAAATGTGTTTTCATCACAGGCCGATAAACATTTAGTCCAGCGCTGTGAGGATGTTTGTGAGTAAGGTCAGTGTGAGCTTGCAGATGAATGCAGCTTGCGTGGAGGCAGAGCAGGAAGCAGAATGACTCACTGACCTTATGGCCTGCAGAAATACTCTGCCTCTGTCCAAGGTGCTGGAACACTTTGCATAATTTGCTCTTCCTCCTCCTCCTCCTCTTCCTCCTACACAGAACCAACTCAGACTCTGCTCTGCATACGAGCGCTATGAACCCAAACCCTCAGGACCCCTTTGGCATGAACCAGCAGATGGGTCGAGGCCCCCCCCAGCGCAATGGTGAGAGTAACAACGCACGCACACATGCGCACACACACACACACTCAGAACACAAGATGCTCACTTTCAGAGCAGTTTCTTTATTTGTGCGTCTGCTCGACTGTTTAAAACGTTTCCTTCATCGATTAATGCATCCTTAACTCAACGGCAGCGTGCGGAGCCCTGTACCTCAGCTCCGTCATTTGACCCAGTTTTTTTTTTTTACCCTTCATCTATTTCTTTTTAGTTTCATTTTTCCCACTACAATAGCTGCATAGCTGCCTAATTTAAAGCTGCTTGCACAGACTTATAAACCAATTGTATACCAGAATTTTGGAGTATTTTCTCTTAATAAAGGCTGAGTCTAATCCCATCACCCATAGTCTTATTCTAGGATTTTTTTTTCTATATTCAAATGGCTTTCAGTGACTCAAATCACTGTTATTGGCCGTCTGCCAATCTTGTAATTTCAGATCCCCATCTCGACAAGCTCACAGAAGCCTGGAGAAACAAAAGCTGGGTTAAATATGTAAAGTTCCCTTCCACTCAATCAAAATGTGTTTTACATTTTTACTTCACTACAGATTGATGTATGTGCAGTGTTTGACACTAGAAGACTTTAAGACATGCAAATACGAGCCACTTATGGACATATTCTTCATGACGTCATCCATAGGTCACTGTGGGGGCTCTGGCCACGGTCATCTTGGCAGTCTAGGCTACAAACAAACAAATGGACAAAGAGGTGGAGCGTGGATGGGGTTGAGGCGGGACAAATGAAACCTGTTTACTGAAAACAGCCACCTGTGACAGCATCCACCTGTCACTCAAAGAGGCCATGCCCTTAATTATGCATAACAACAATATAATGTAAACGGGTTGAGTTGCATAAAAAATGCTCTGTAAAAATCTGTAGCCAGGCTCGAGTGGCCGTTTAAGGAACTGCAGTTTTTGCTACTTCCATATCTGCTTCATTTGGTTGCCCCTTGGTAACGAGCATGATTTGTGACATCACGTTAACTAGAGTGGAAGCAATCTCTTCTTAGAGAAGTCACAGACATCCTGTGTCCAACAGTTCAACTTTTTTGTGGAAAAAAACACATCAGACACAAATTGTTCTTCAAAGCAGAATATTTTTTATATATAAAACATGTCTGGAGGGGATCTTCAAAAAATGTTCTACCCTAGCAGCAACTTATTTTTTCCTTACTCCAAAACTTTAGACTTGACTTTATAACATTTAAGAGTCGAGTCATTACTATCATTGCCTGTTAACAGAGCTGCTGCCTCTGTCCGAATGAAAAAGATCTCACTATACTGATTTTGGGTCCGGCTGCATTTGGTTAACCAGTCACTGGGGAGTTGACATTGTTATTAAATGTTAAATGCCATTTGAATTATTACATGCTTATGTAGCTTTGCAGTCTCCTTTTTATTTTTAGACTTTTTATACTCTGAAAACAAACTTCCCTACATAAAATAATGCATTAAAATCTCTGCCTGGGCTTGATTTGGCATGTGCTGTTGACCTGATGTGACCCAGACCTGTGTTGTTTATTGAAGTGGGTGTGAATGACCACGAGGAGCAGAGCTGACAGGATCTATTAACAGACAAAAAGCAGGTGGAATATTCACAGTATGACATGCGCACCACCAACAAAGGCAGGACACCGCCTAGAGAAACTAATTAAGATCCACTTGTGTATTGAGACATCACCTCGAACACTCATGCAGTGCATCATACTGAAGTGTAGCAGAGGTGGACACTTGTGCGAGCAGAACTCTGGGTCACAGTAGCACAGCCCGACATGTTTTTAAACTGTATAACCTCTCAGCCACATGCCGTATGCAGGCTGCTCCTGTACTGGGCCCATGTCATAGTAATCATGCTAGTTTATGGTGTTTGTGTTTCTGTTCCTCTGGTCATTTATTAACAGAGAACACAGTCCATCCAGCCAGCTGCTTTGCAGTCTCATAAGCCACTCTGAAGGCACAGTTAAACAAATCACCATCAGGCCATTGTTGGTTTAAAACACTGTTTATACCTCTTGTAGTTGTATTGTAATTGGTCCAAAGACAAAGATCTATCTCTTAAGTCAAAGATTTCATCTTCCTCCCTCTGTTTTCACACTCTCCATCCATCCCCTTGCCTTTCTCCTTGCTGTTTCCATCTGAACGTCCAGTGTGTTTTTGACACTGTTTATCACATTTGTCTGCTCTCAGTGCTGATGAAGTGTGGAGTAGATGAGAGAAGTGCTCCTGCCATGCATTACTACTCTCTGTGTTTAGCCAACAAGTTTAAACAGGATATTGCCTTAAGATCTTAGCCAAGTTTGAGTTTCACATACAAACAGAATCAACCCAGTGTAGATATGAATTACAGTCTGTTGTGCTTTAAGTGGCTCACCTTAGGCCCAGTTGGAAATGTTGGCGTGTTTGTTTGTTGCTTACCAAAATTAGCTGATATCAGGTATTTTGTGTTTATGATTGCTCACTGTTTGTTATACTCATGTGCTGGGAAACTAGGAGTCATTAGTCATTCGGTTCCATAGAATCTCCCATCACAAGTTCCCAGAACCCATATTTAAATTTTGAAATGTCTGCTTTTGTCTGATCAACACTTGAAACCCCAAAGATGTTTACTATCACATTAAATATTCCAATTTAAGAAGCTGTGACCAGTGAATCTTTGCTTAAAAATTTCGTTTTTGATTCGTTTTCTCTCGATTGAGTAGTTTATTAATCAGCTGCTTGTTTCAGCTCTACTCTTGTGCAGCCAGCAGACCTAGAATGAAGTCACGAGATGATTGTATTTCCCCAAAGGTGAACTGAGTGAACCTGTGGAGGATCACATTGTATATACAGCACAGTCTTCTTGCACAGCCTGCTGTGTATATAGTCCACCAGCACATACTGCACATAGCTGTACAGGCTGTATATCCTTCCCTCTTAAAGTGACGGTGACACCAGACTGTTGGGGAACGAGCAGCGCAGCCTCGTCGCCTCGGTGCTGCCATCGCAGGAGCGTGGAGAGCTGTGAAGCCCCAGGGCCTCGTTGACACCTCTAAAGGTTTCAGCGGGTTTTGAGTGGTGTTAAACCCTGGCTGATTAAAGAAGCATCTAACTAGGAATTACAGCTATGAGTCACACTGCTGAGGTGGAAGCACTCGGAGCAGAGGAGTTCAGCTACAGTCTTTTTGGTGTAACCTCTTTTCTGCCAATTGTTGTCAATAAAAAGGAGCCAGTCAGAAGAAATCTAACGTTACCTCTGCAGCTGAAAGGCCTCTGATTACTGCTATGCTGTAGCAACATACAGTGATATTTTTTCCTTAATCCCGAGCATTTATAACACACACATTGGAGTGTGGATCTAGCCAGAGACACAAGCCAACCATTTTCCATCCCAGTTGTCCCGTTTCTGTCTCAGTTGCGCCTCTACGAGCTATGGCGACTAGACACCTCTGAAGGGGAAATATAATGATGCCAGACTGTTGTATCGCCTCATTGTCCCATCTGTTCCAGCAGCACGAAAAGCTGCCTCTCGAAATGAATGGGCCTCAGAAAGACTGAGCATTAAAGGAGAAGGAATGGGTGGGCACTGGTTCAAAGGCTAATGTAAGAGAAGCCCAGTGTAAGTCAGAGCAATGAGGAGACTTAAAAGACATTAAGAGAAAAAAAAAACATTTTCCTAATAAGTAACAGAGTGCACTGATGTGTTGTTGCTAAACACAAGAGTTAGACACGAAATAGACAAAAGTTAAAAGGAGGCAAAAACAAAGACATTTGTATCTGTCTTTGGGTCTCCAGCAGGGGGGAAGAGAAAGAGGCTCTTTGTGGCACGAGAAAAACAATGGTACTCTCTTTATTCATCACTCTATGAACCCCCCACCCAACTTTTTCCTCCCTCTCCTCATCTGTGTGACTAATAACATGATGCCAGATGCCCAGCTGTTGTGTTTATGCACAGTAATTGCAGTCTGCATTCCAAAGGGCCTGTTCCTGTCAGAGGGACTGATTATTGTGCCAGACACGTCGGAATAATTCAAACAGCTGGTTAATATTGTATATCCTGTAATGTTCCTCTGCTTTTGTCTTTATGTCTTTTGTTATTTCCCCGTCGATCATCCCTCCCCCCACGCAGCTAGTGTAAATGAGGCAGAGGTGGACGGCTCCGGAAACGGTGAGTTGCTCTTTTCTTGAACAATCGAGAGGGAATTTGTATTGGCTAGTTTGTAAAACACGTTTCATTAAAGTGAACTTTCTTCTCTGCAGTGTTCTCGTTCCCCTCCCTGTCTAATGAGGAGAGTCTAATAGGTGTCAGTAAGCCCCTTCCCAAGCAGCTGTGGGAGGCCAAGAAGGTGAGACTGTTGCTCACTTTCTACTTCTTACATCAATGCCTGCTTGATGCTTTGTGTTTTGTTTGACATATGGTAACTCCATATGCATGAAGATTATGATGTGTATATCCTGGCATTCACTGCTCTCACGTCTGGGTGTGTTGTTGACGATGAACACTTCATCGTAATGATTGTAATGGGGGGAATCGGACTGTACAACATCTTTACGTCTTTTGAGAACAGTCAGATTGGGTGATTGTGGTATCTCAAATTCCTAGCTTGGCAGAGACATGACAGAATACACGTTGAACCAGTCTTTCCTGCATGACTCTAAATAGTTCAATCAACACAGACAATTTTCAACCAACTAGATGAAAAAAAGGCAAAACAACTTGTTAGTCTTAGTTTCTTGGCCGAGTCTTCTGTTCTTACACAAAAGATGAGATGAAACCACAAATTTTCACGCTCAATCCCAACAATCAATATCTTTTGGATCCGGATAATAATTTTTATTGCTCAGCCAATTCTGGAAAGAGACATATTTTTTGCTAATGTGGAACTTTCCACTTTGTAATGGATTTCAAGGGATTTTTTCAGCTCATTACATTAAGAATACACTGATCTGATAAGCAGGATACCAGTGTCAACACAGATACTTATTATTTAATACATTGGACATGACAATACACATTAAATTAAGTTTCTTTGTAAATGTCATAATAGGAATTCAGTGTTTCCACATTGAGTCACAGTGGGCTGCTGACTCAGACTTGAGTGTTAGAGAGTTATTATCTAGTTGAGAGGAGTAATAGTAACTTTTGTGTTTCTGTTTCAGGTCCAGTCTCTGGCATCAAGGCCTAAATCGTGTGAAGTGCCTGGAATCAAGTAAGTCTGAAGGCAGAAGCCCAACTTTTTCCTTTTATTCCCAGATCATCATTAATGTGATGTTACACAAAGTATTTAAATGCCACATAATCCGTAGCTGCTGCAGCTGGTCGACAGAAACAGTGGAATCATGGAGATGAAATGCCACACATTCCCACCTCGTCAAACAGGATGTCTGTGTTCCTCTTTACACGTCTGACCCTTTTGAAATAAGAGGAACAATCGGATTCCTTTTGAACTGTTTAACACCAGTTTGCTAAGACTATTGTTTTCTCACTGCAAACGACCTCCGGTGTCATGATTTAGAAGCAAACGGATGTCTCCATTTTTACTAGCAATATATTAGCTTTACAGCAGCAGTTTCCCTTTTACCATGTTGCCAGTAGATGCAAACAGATCAGACATAATGTAGAGTTCATATTACCACACAGCAGGCAGTGTTCAATCTGAAGAGCCTTAAGAGATTTAAGATTATTAGAAAGACATCGTTTTGAGCTGTGCAGCCAGCGCAGAGGGAGACACACTGTATGTTTGTGGAGGCAAGCATTCGTTCATTGTTTTGTGTTGTGCCAGTTTGTATGTATTTGTGTGGGGACAGACAACAATGAGTCACTGTTGCTGTTGTTGATGGAGCATATGAGCAGAAATGGAAATTAGAGAAATAATAGAGGAAATGGAGAGTGGGTGGAAAAAAAGAAGAGACTAGAACAAGTGGATGGGAGTCAAAGAAACGTCTTGTCAATTTGAAATGGCAACGGCAGCACATTTAATGGCTCTACCTTTAATTGATGCTCAATATTTACATTAATTACAATGCTTTCTGGGCACTGGTGTTGTTCATGATGAGTCAACCAAGTTTCCTGTGTACCTTCGCTGCAGTATATTCCCGTCTCCGGAGCAGAACCCCGGTCTGTCCCACTACCAGGGCTTGTTAAATACCGGCGGCTCCCTGCCCGACCTCAGCAACCTGCACTTCCCCTCACCGCTCTCCACCCCGCTGGACCCAGACGACAACGGAGGGTACCCCAACCTCAGTGGGGGCAGCAGCACCGGAAACCTGCCGGCTGCCATGATGCACCTAGGCATCGGCAACTCACAGGGTGGGTGGAGCTCAGCTGTACGTTTATGTGGGTGTATGGTGTCCACCCGTTTTCACACTTATTTATTATTTATAAAAGGTAATACAGGAAAAAAAACAGAAAGGAAAGTTGTTGTTTTTTGTTGTTGTCAGCTTTCTTATGCTGTCAGCCATCTTATGACTCCCTAGATCTATCTCATGGGTCCTGACCTCCAGGTTTGCTTGGGGTGTATGGTGTGAAGGAAAATAAGGTTTGATATTTTAACTCATCTAGTCAGTTCTGAATGCTGGGTCTTATTTTAATACCCAATACCTGACCTTTAAAGATCTGGTGTGTAGGATTTAGTGCCCTCTAGTGGTGTAGTTTGCAGCTCCCTCGCTTTACCCTACCTTTGAATATCGTATAATAATAATATAATACCTCTCTCTGCGTTGGTACCATCACTTAAGAGAATTTGTCTCCATGCAGGATTTCCGTTGATTATAGTAATGATGGAGTAATCATAGTTTACCTGTCATTCATGTGTTATCTGAATTATGTCTTTCAACATGGGCCCCTTCTGACTGTCGAGACTAAAAGATCTGTGTATTTCAGTGAGTCATCATCTACTGGGATTCTAGTCGTTGTAGGTTTATTAAAGTCTGTTCTAGCTTCAGCCTGCTCCAGTGTTTTGAGCAGGTTCCAGGATTCATCCTCTGCCAGCCGACTGTACATAATGGATAACGCACTGAATAATCTTTCTGTCTCCAACTTCCTCACTATGAACTGTGCTGCCTGATCTGATCACACCCAACACTGCTCCCACTCAGTCTTTCCTTTCTGTGTTTTGTGAGCGTATGCATGGTTGGGCTCTCATGTCGAACACAGTTCAACTTGGCCGAGTACCAAAGTGACAGAGGAACTTTGACCCCGTTACAGCTTACTACAATCAGCTCTTTTCTTTTCACTCTGTCTTCTCATTTTCCTTTCCTTTGCCCTCCATCTTTCTCTCCCTCCCCAGTCACACAATAAAGTCTAGTGTTTTGGGTCGGGGACTGGAGAGCATTCTGGAAAATCAAGTACATACTTCATCATAACTTCCACATGTTGCTTTCTAAGGGCTCATATCTGCTCTGGATTCACAGCGGCTTTCTTAGTTTCATTCTAATGTTCATCAGATGCTTCTTAAATCTGTCTCATCGATGTGCTCATGTTGTCTTTGCTATCCCTACAGGTCTCTCCTCCTCTCTGAGCAATCCCTCAATCCAGCAGTCCCTCAACAACTGTCAGCTGCAGTCGTCGCTCAGCAATCCCTCCATCAACTCATCCCTGCGTCTCTCCAACAACTCCCCTCGGAGACGGCCCGCTCCCATCAGCCCCCTCACCCTGTCTCCTGGCACTGAGCAGCGCAGGGGTCTTGCCAAGCAGCTCTCTCCCACCATGTCCCCCTCGCTGTCCCCCATTACACAGGTACACACACCTCACCCCAAAGGTTCCACATTCCCCTAACAACAAGAGGGATTGTCTATTTTGCAGTGCACTGAAATAATAAAATAAAATTGATGTACCTATAAAACTGAACATTATGAGATTTCTTTTATACTGTTTTGAGCAGTATAAATTCGGACATATTTTGAATAAATTCAGACATATTTTGTGTTGAACTCTTGCTAGTTTGGCGCCTGGCATCTTCAGCTTCATTGCACTTTGTAAACTAAGTACCACTGCTGTCAAAAATACTAGAGCTAAAACAACACTCACAAATGTATAATGATATAAAATAAAGTTAGACTTCCAAGTAAAAATTCCTACAATTGCAAAAAATACACTAGTGCAATTGTTTTTATTCCAACTTTGATGGAGAAAGTGTAGTTGAGTAATGACACTACAATCAGAATAAATTAACTTCAAGTCCCAACTCTTTATTAAACTTGTAGTCCGTCTTTAGTGACTCCTGCTGGCTTCCTCTGTCCTTTTTAGGGAGTAGCTTTGGATACCAGCAACATGCCAAGGGAGCCGCCCCCACCCTATCCGCTCTACCAACAATCCCAGCATGCAGTGGACCAGAGCCGACAATGCCAACAGCAACACCAGCAGCAGCAACACCAGCAGCATCAACAGCAACAGCAACAGCAACAGCTTCATCAACAGCTTCATCAACAGCTTCATCAACAGCAACAGCATCAGCAGCAGCAACAACAGCAACAGCAGCCCCTTTCCCCCCTTCAGAACATCCAAATGGACTTCAACAGCCAAGTGAGTGCCATGAAGAGTGTCTCTGTCAGGGGGCGTGCGCACAGAGAGCAGGCTGGAGGGCACTCACGTGCACACAATATCAGATTTTGTGCACCATGATGTTTTGTGGATGTTCATAACTTGTTTTTGTCTCCCTGCAGGGCAGACATTAGTGTGGGAGATAAGATTCAACACTGAAATTTTATTAACCTTCTCTAAGTTGAGCAATCCCATTTACTGTGTAGCTTGTTTTGCTGCTGAACACAACAGATACAAATATTCTGCTAATTGTCATTAGTTAGAAATATACAGGTCTGTAATACCTCTGAGAATCCTGACATTAATACGTTTAAACTTAACTGGTAGATTAATGATAGACAACATGTCCTATTTCTTAAACAAGTTGAGTTCTAATCATTAACAGCCAGTGAAGGTCGATAGGTAGAAAAATACAATCATTTGTGATTTGCTCACAGTCCTAAGTAATTGCAGAAAGTTACGTTAATATTGTTTTGTAACCACTAAGGAAGCCTGGTGTAAATTTGACCACAATGTGATGTTTTGGGACTCATTTCCTTCCCGACAGCACAACAACATGGGGACACTCTTCAACGACCCCTTCATGGAGCCACAGTACTCCAATCGCCAGAGCAAGACCCTCCCCTATCAGGTACAGGTTGACACACAAAACAGTAAACGCACACAGAGCACTTTCACTTCATCTCCGAGAAGACAGTTTAACCCAAGAGAGTGGGTTGTTAATAGCATTGCAACAAGGAAATAGACTTGTTGGCCTAATCATCACTGTAGTGTTTCCTTGTCAGCACATAAGTGACAGGCAACAGATGCAGAACACGTGAATGCTAAAATGTGTCATATTAGGAGTGGGATAAATCTTTAAAAATAAACATGTAAGGTAATGGGGAAAACCACTGCTGCAAATGAGACCCTGACTAATTCAATATTTCTTACACAAGCAAGTTAACCAACATTTCTATGTTCTATTTACAGTTTTACATGGGAAATTACTCTGTGGCATCAGTTCATCACTCCACTGAAAATGTATGTTTTTGCCCTGCCAGCAGCATGTATCCAAATTTTATGAATGGATTTTCATGAAATCTGGCCGACACAATAACTAGTAATGAAGTTTTTCTCAAACCACAGAGCTGAACAGAATGTGTGGTTGTCATCAGTTGTAGTGTTAATAAGGTTTTCTATGCACTGTACAGACGTTATGAGAAAACACTTGGAAGATATCACATAGAATTAAGCTGCCAGGGTGAACGCGACCACAACTCCTCTCACTGATCCTTTCAATTTTCTTCCGTTTGCCATTTTCTCTCCACCATCTGCCGGCTAGTTGGACCAGTTCTCTCTGTTGGAAAACGCGATGTGCTCCACAGCAGGGGGTTCTTGCTTCGACCCTTCCTCCTCCTTGCTGTACTACTCCCAGGCTGCCCTCTCAGGGCTGGGTGGCAGCCACGGCAGCCTGCAGGACCCTAATCACATGAGGTCCAACATGCTGTACTCCAACTGCAGCGGAGGACTGCCCAATATCATACTCACTGGTAAGTGTATAATATAGTCATGGGCATAGTGCGTCCCGAGAAAGAGGAATTCAGTTTTTGTTTTCAGTCTGTTTTTTGTTTTTTGTTAACAGAAAACAAATGAATATATAATACATGTTTGTTTTTAAATAAAAATAATATCATTTGTTTGCCATTTGGTGCTGGGCAGGTAGGGGTAAGTACAGTAGCTGTATCAGGGCAGAACCATTCAGTAAATGTGCTGTGAACCCAC